TGGTTTGCCCCTCTACTTCAAATCTCCAACAAGGAGTTCCTCCACCTCAAGCAGACCCCAGACCTCCTCACTATAGAGAACGGTCTAGTGCTCCATCCAGACCTCCAATCCCTTCGCCTGACGGCATGGAGGATCAGGCCACATTAAATCTATCTGAAGAGGTATCTCGTATACTTCTGGCAGCCCACAAACCGGCTACCAAAAAATCCTATGCCTATAAATGGTCCCTGTTTAAGGCATTTACTGAATCAGCTGGATGCGATCCGTATTCAGCCCCTGTACCGGTGATACTAGACTTCCTGGTACACCTCTCCAACAAATGCTCTTCCCTATCTTCGGTTAAATGTTACTTAGCAGCACTCTCCTCATACAGGAGACAAAGGGGCTTGCCGTCCCTTTTTCAAAATTACTTTATTCAGTTGTTTCTTAAGGGTTATAAACATACCCACCCCCCCTCCTGCCTCCCCTCCCCCCAGTGGAGCCTGGAATTAGTGCTATCTCAATTATCAAAACCGCCATTTGAACCCATGGCCTCTAATGATATCTCACACCTCTCGTGGAAGACGGCTTTCTTGGTGGCTGTCACTTCGGCTAGAAGAGTCAGTGAACTCACGGCCCTTCGGTCGGATCCACCTTATATCAGATTCCATGACGATAAAGTTGTCCTCCGGACAGACGTTACCTTCCTCCCTAAGGTAGTTTCTCACTTCCATATGTCTCAAGACATCATCCTCCCGGCCTTTTTTCCTAACCCAATGTCTCAGTTGGAAATCACTTCACTCCCTGGATGTTAAAAGGGCCCTCTCCTTTTATCTACATAGGACTGCTTCCTATAGGAAATCGCCTAAGCTCTTTTTAAAATATAGGAAAGACGTTCTGGGCCACCCTGTCACTTCTCAGGGGCTGGCCTCATGGATTGTCTCGGCGATCCACCTTGCTTACCAGTTGGCGGGAAAACAACCTCCGCCTCATCTGGTGGCTCATTCGACTCGCTCAGTTTCCACCTCCCAAGCCTTCTTATGAGGGGTGTCTTTGGAACAGATCTGCAGAGCAGCAACGTGGTCCACGCCATCGACGTTTGCATCTCACTACAAGCTGGACATACTGTCAAAGCAGGATGCCGCTTTTGGCAGAGCTGTTCTTTTCTCCTGTGTGGCATGACCCACCTCCAGGTCAGTAGCTTGCTATTCACCCATAGGTGCGCATTTTACGGAGGACACGAAGAATAAATAAAGGTTGCTTACCTGTAACCGTATTTCTTTGAGTGTCCATCCGTAAAATTCGCACAACCCGCCCGTCCTCCCCACAGTCATGCCCCATATAGCTGCTATTTAGCGCTCGGGAACTACCGGCCAAGCCACGCCTCCGGCCCTTTATACCAGGGGGGCGGGGGATGGGCGGGGCCTATATTGCATTTAAAAAATCATTTAAATATTCATTAAATCTCTAGAATGTCCGGATTGCTGCGCAGGCGCACAGGAAGACCCATAGGTGCGAATTTCACGGATGGACACTCGAAGAAATACGGTTACAGGTAAGCAACCTTTATTTATGTTTGGATATAGTACTGAAGACTGTACTATATCCAAGTGACACTTATTTTATCCTCATGAGTTTATTCCAAAACTTCAGTTGTTGATAACACAGACATTCTATAAATAGGTAATCAGTTAGTACAAGTTGTGTGATGAGGAACTTTTGTTTTAGCTGAAGCCTCATTTGAGATCAGCTTCTACACTTCCCTGTTCCCACCTCATGTGTTTTCCATATACCGTGGAACATCAACTTAAGAGCTTCCCAACTTAAGAGTGATTTAAGAGCTGTCGCTCAGCCTGGGTTTTGCTTTGACATAAGAGCAGCATTTTGAGTTAAAAACTAGCACCAGAGGGAGTGCTAGCAGGGCTTTAGGGCTTCAAGGGAGCAGCCTTCGCACCTCATGTTCTTGTCCACTTGGGGAGATTGCCGACCGCTTGCTCTTTTCCACTTAGAGGAACTTTGAGTAAAAGTTGATTTTGTGTGGTTTTTATCCCTGATATGTTTGGCTTCATGAAGAGAGAGGGAAAGAGAGCAAGAGAGGGAGAGAGGATAGAATGAGTACAGTATGAAGAAAATGATGCTTCTGCCTGTTCACTTTGTGCTTCCTTGTCACAACTTCGTGCGTTTACCATTTTAAAGTTGATGTTTCTTTTTTTATTGTTCTATGTAAATGTGCATTTTTACATCATTTGTTTTTTATAAAGTAAGTTTTCTTATTTAAAAACATGTAACAAAAAAACTGGGGTTTTGCTTTGAGATAAGAACATTTGAGTTAAGAGCTCAGTCATGGGACAAATTAAACTCTTGAGTCAATGTATCACTGTATATAACTTAACTTATGGAAAATGCATTTTAGAAGATGCATATTCCATGCATCTCCTAAAAGTGGGTTTTGGTTTACTAAAACTTTTTCCATGATAAACTTGATAGCCCTTAAGGTGCCTATAAGAGTCATTATTGGTTTTGCTGCTCCAGATCAGAGTGGCTTCTCAGGAAACCAGTTTAGGGACAGTTGCTTTGAATTTTTTGACAACAGATGTCAGTCTGTTGTCATCATAATTGGCAATCACTCATGTCCGAGTAGGATAACCTTCCAAGTTTAGGGTCTTAGCAGTGGGTATGCGGGTGACTGTGGAGACCTATTCTTGACCCGCATGTTCTTTCACAGTGAGGACACCGGTTTCCAGATGGAAGGTGGTCTCGGTTGTGGTTGGCTTGATGCACCTTCCTCTTTACTCATGTCTCCCTTTCACCCTCCATTTGTGCCTCTTTGAATTCCACAGCATTGTTTGTAACAGCTGACCTCCAGTCAGAGTGCTCAAGGGCCAGGGTTTCCCAGTTCTCAGTGTCTATGCCACAGTTTTTAAGGTTAGCTTTAAGGTTAAACCAAGTCAGCCTGTTGTAAGTGTCTGGGATTTACAGGTCCTCATTTCAGTCTATTTGCTCTGAGAGTGTTCTGTCAAAGAAATATAGCAGGCTGTGCTATTTTGGATATCCACCTGTGTGAGCCAGACTACCTAGCATTTGTGTGGTCCAGGTAACTTGCTGTGAATGCTTTTACACAGCTGTCGTATGACTGGTGTATGAATCTCTACTGTCACTAAAGATCCTATTCTTTTCTCAATAACTTGCTCACTTGACTATTTAAAGTATGATTAAGCTTTCAGTTAGTTAGTGATATTACTCTGATATGTAAAACTACTTTGTCAATCCTAGAAATAACATTGACTGTATCTTTGTTGTATATTGAGTGCAAGCCAATCGGATTTTGATGTACATCTGATTTGTATATAAATGCATATCTAGCTATCTGCACTGGTAGTGTAGTGATATTGCTATTGGTGAATAGCTAGTTAGTATACAGCATTGCATGCAGTGTATTTTACTCACTTACCTCTTATTTTGCTAAAGCAGCATTGAAAATGAACAAAAATAAGATTGTGAGAAGCTCACAGGCATTTTTAATATGATGCACAGTAGTAGTCTATATACCATTCATAGAAACGTTCTCATTGAAATACATGCTCATGCTTCCACCATGTCTACAAGTGAAATACTAAAAGTGGTCTTATATAGGCAAGCTTTGAGTTCCAATGCAAGTTGTTTAATTGGAGAATCTGTCAGCTATTTTTGTGCTCTGGATTGGAAAGCATCAAGTTGGGGAGGAGGAGAAACATACCCCAAGAGTCACAGATACAGACACACACTTGCATGGTGAAAGCAGAACCATGAGAGCAGCTGAGCATGATTTCAATAAACCTTTATGTTGTATGTCATTGGAGCTTTGCAGCACTTTCTTTGGGGGTAGCTAGGGATGTGCAATGTTGCGTAAAGAGGGAAGCATTGCCAGGTCTCCTCTTTCTCTTATTTCTCTTCCTCATCCGCCATGCATTCCAAGTCTTTCAAGACTTCCACCTTAGAACTGATCCAAGCAAATGGAGAGAGGAGTTTATTTGGTGGAAGGAGTTTGGAGGAAGGGATGTATGCCAGAAGTATTTAATGATGGATATCTTCTCTGTCTCTGTCTCTCTCTCTCTCTCTCTTTCTATAAAAAGTCGTAACATTCTTTTCAAGCCTTCACAGACCTCATATGAGGATATTATATTTTATCTGGATGTCTGCAGACTACAGGTTAAGAAACACTGGTGTAGATGATGCCCAAAGGAGGAAGTAACATCACTCTTGAGTGATAGACTTGACATTCTGATGAAAATCCTCCTAAATATTTTGGCTTGGAGAAACTCCAAGGTCTGCTTTGTAGGAAGTTTATGTCAGTGTGTTGCTACATTCAGCCGTTGTGTTGTTTTGATTCTGAACAGTTTTCATGGGTTTATCCGCTTGACCAAGCCTTCATTTCCCCTTCTCACTGTTTCATAAATAAGCCCTAATCTTCAACAGTTCTTTAATCTTTAAATGGAAGCCTTGCTAAGTGAAATAATTTTCACCCTTGTTTTGTATTGGAAGTCAAGTCAAACTGCCACGCTTCGGTGGCTGCTGCTACTGCTGTTGCTTTAGAACCCTGTATGCTTTCCAAAGCATTTCTCCCAAATTTTTAATTCATTGGTTTACAGTTGGCAGAAAATCTGTATGGTGACACTTTGTTCCCTATTTAGATGATGATTTTTCATGCCATGGTGATGGGGATGGTTCGAATTTGTTTTTATTGTAGGATTGCTTTTTAATAGTTTGTTATGCATGCTACATGATTGAATATTAGTTACACTAATGATATCACCAAGAGGAAGAGAGATTTCAAAGTGAAATAATGTTGCAGACAAAACTTCAACAAGTCCACGATGTTCTTTTTCACTTTAATGCTCCCTGGAAATTCTCTGCCATTAGAATAAGTATTGACTAGTGTAGCTGGGTTAATGCAAAATGTGGATACCCTGAGATAACAGTGATTTGGTACTATAATGATTTTTCTCAACAGTAAGTGTAATGTTCAATTTCTTTTGTTACAGATGGAAGAGAAACGGCGAAAGTACTCGATCAGCAGCGATAACTCAGACACCACTGACAGTAAGACCTTTAATTCAAGGCTTAGGACAAGATAACTAAATGATTCACCTCCAGCAGGGAAAGCATTTGAATAATTACTTTCCAGACAGCCAGGAAAGCTCAGTTTTTTTGGGTAGCTCCTGAACAATATGTTGTCCTTAGGGGGTTGCTTCTAAAATATACTACAAGAAGTTAATATCTACTTACATATCTGGTAATGGATGTTTTTTTCTCCTGATCTTAGGTTTGTTCTCCCATTCCTATGAACAGTATGGTTTAAGAGGAAGCCATAAAACAAAAGTGATACAAAGGCCTTTTTAGACAGAACATTGCAGATCATTTAAACCAGGGGTCCTTAAATTAAGACCTGGGGGCCGGATACGGCCCTCCAAGGTCATTTACCCGGTCCTTGCTCAGGGTCAACCTAAGTCTGAAATGACTTGAAAGCACACAACAACAGCAACAATCTTATCTCATCAGCCAAAAGCAGGCCCACACTTCCCATTGAAATACTCATCAGTTTATATTTGTTAAAATTGTTCTTAATTTTAATTATTGTATTGTTTTTAAGTGTTTTTTGCACTACAAATAAGATATGTGCAGTGTCCATAGGAATTCATTCATGTTTTTCCCCCAAATTATAATCCAGCCCTCCAACAGTTTGAGGGACTGTGACCTGGCCCTTTGTTTAAAAAGTTTGAGGACCCCTGATTTAAACAGATACCCCTTTTTGGACTTCTGTGTCATATTCTCTTTGAAAAGTATTTGTAAACTTTGGCCAGTCCCAAACATTGCAGCCATAATGTTGCCTGCAGATGGTTCCCTTACACGTACAACATCTTCATTGGCTGTTTCTGGGTGCATTTCAAAGTGCTTCATGATGGAGACCTGTATGACTTGGAATCAGGCTATTTAAAAAATTGTGATTTCCTGCAAGAGTCTGCCCAGATGCTAGATCTTGCCAGGAAGCCCATCTCTTAGTCTGATGATCCTCAGAAACAGGTTGGGTGGGGACATGAGAGGGACTTCTTGGTGACTTCTGCTCTAGCATTCCTTGCTTGAGGGGAGACTTAAGTTGGTTCCCTCTTTTTTGTCCTACCAGTAAATAGCTTTTTATTCAGACAAGCCTTTAACATCTGTGCTGAATTATAATTGAAGAGAGTTCTTTGTAATTCATATATTTTAAATCTGTTGTTCTGTTTTAATTATAGTTGTTTTGCTTCAAATTTAAATTAAATTAGGATTTCCAGGCTGGCTTCAGATTGGGGTTCTTGTATCTTCAAGCCCAAACTGACTGAGAAGTGGGATGGAGTATCATACAACTCTATGAACCTGGGTCAGGGTAGTTGTCTTCCTTTACCTTTCAGCCTCAGATTTCAGCTGCAACTGTTCCATCTCAACATCAATCTGACCTCCCTAGTGGAGAACCATAGGTAGGAGGTGGGAACATGCCTGGTGACTCTTTCCTCCCCTTTCCTCACTGCCCACTGGTGTGATAAGAGCCATGTTGGGAAGGAATGGCTGCAGCTGAAAGTTAGAGGTTGAAGGATGAGAGGAGATAGGTAGTGTCTGCTTCTTAGGCCCTATCTACACTGATTCTACAATGTGGCTTTGAGACAAAATGCGTATCACCAATGCATGTTGTAGCATGTATTTAAGGGTATGTAGTGCATTTTAAAAGTTGCAGAAAAGTTTGAGTTCAGCCAAATAATGTGCTGCAATGGATGCCAGTGTATCTCAGAGCCAGGACAAAATCAGAGCCGCAAAGTGCTGAAGTGCAGTAAACGACCCAGAAAGAGGGGTTACTGAAAAGTGTCCCGAAGGCATTGATTACCTCCACTTCTACCTGTCACTTTCTCCCCTTTTTCGCATACGCCTTCTGGGTGCTGGTGTTCATCTCCTGGACATGGAGGTGGGGAACCCTGCAGAGAGGGTTCGGGCCAAGTTCTGTGGTTAATGTAATCACTCCTTTGGATTCAAACAATTTCAGACCTTTCAGTCTAATCACCCGTGCAATGAAACTGGTTCCTCCCAAACTGGTTCCAAGCTGCATTATAGGGTCAGTGAAGTTGAGCATTTAGTTTATTCAGATTAAAACTACAAGAGCCCTTCTTGTATTGAACCTGGCACCCCTACCACTAATTACCTTGAGTGCCACTTTATGATGGAATGGTGGGCCTTAACCTAACATAACATGAATTATCAACATATATCTATTAATATAAAATCATAAATAAACTTAGTACTTTGTTTCAGAAGAAAGCTTCTATTTGAACCTGCCTCAAAACTGAGACTATAGCTGGGTTGTATTACAGAAACATATTGGGGAGAGGGTACCAAAGCCAGGTGAATCCTAAAGAGATAAAGCGCCAAAATAGTGCTCAGAAAAAGAAAGCTTCAGTAATTAATGAGAATTAAGTTAAATGCTAAATATATAACACATGTTGACATTTATGTTATGGCACATTTTAGTCCAAGGCTTCTGCTTCTGAGTACTATTTCAAGGCCTTTCCCCCTTTTAGTTTCTATATTATACCAGGAACAGATGGGACCTTTTCTGCCTTGCCTCGCCATTAGTCAAATGCCTGGCTTCTGCACTTATAAGCCAAAGGCAACATAAGTACAGTAAAACAACAACAATCACCTTGTGAGGTAAATTATACTTAAGGGTAATGAATTTTGAACCCACAGGGTGAAAGTTCAAGTTATTTTAGCTTTGCAAATGCTGTGAAATGACAGGAACTTCCCACCCTTAGTTACCTTTGAACAAGCTGTAAGATGTGGCATTTAAAACTGACAGTATGTGCAGCTACTGTCTTTTCCTGGAAAAAGAAGGTCATAGTTGTGTTTACAGTTACTCTGTGGGAGAGCATTTGTCAACAGCTAAAACATCACCTGCTGCATGAATACCAAAGTCCAACAGAGATAAGGTTGTGCTGCTTAATATAGCGATTAATAATGTTTTAACACTTAACAGCCCTGCCAAGGCTTCAGAATTTCTGTATTGTTCCAGATAAAGCAAAGTTGTGCTATTCAATTTTTGGTTAGCAGCAAAGCAGAGCTGTTTTGGTAAAAAGCAAACCCTTTCCCTGAACAATATTTTTTTCCAAGTAGGATGGCCAGCAGTTCAGTTTTACAGTGCATTGCCCTACAAATCCAGCCATTGGGATTTGACCAAGTTTAGTCATGGGGATCGCTACTTGTGATGGTAGCACTCAAGGGTCCAGGTCTGACCCAGGAAGACCCAGTTGCTGTAGCTCCAGTGCTATAGGGGACCATGTCTGTGGCCTTCTAAATGTTTTATGTATTTGTTTGTTTATTTATTTACAGTATTTATATTCTGCCCTTCTCACCCTGCAGGGGACACAGGGTGGATTACAGTGCACCTATACATGGCAAACATTCAGTGCTAGTTAGACATGCAACATATATAGACAGACACAGAGGCAATTTTTAACATTCCAGCTGTGCCCAAGCTTTTTCCAGCTTCATGAGAGTATGCAGGATTCTGGCTCGATTTCAGCCACAGGGAGAGCTGCCGCTTCACCGTCCATTATGACATGAGTCCTTTGATGGAGTACTTCCTCATTCTTCTGCATGCTGCTGGAAGGTTTTTTATGGCATTGTAAATTAGTTAAATTAGCTTCCCTGCATAAGCGGTACCTAAATTTCTTACTTGACAGATGTAACTGTCTTTTGGGCTGCATAGGTTGACAGCAAGCTAGATGAATGGCCAGAAGCTCACTCCGACCTAGGCTGGCTTCGAACTCATGACCTCTTGGTCAGAAGTGATTTAATGCAGCTAGCTCTCAGCTAACTGCACCACAACCCAGTTTTACAATAATTTCTAGTCATGGGAGAGGGCAAAAGTCAACATTTAAATTGTGTGGGCTTGGTAGCCTCAGGAGCTGCAAATCAAAGCCTTTTAAGGTCCAACTCCTGAACTAAATAATTATAGTTGGACACCCTCCTGTTGTATCAGGCAGGCTTCAAGGTTTGTTCCAAATCAGCTTGGTTTTCTTTTTAACATAAATGTATCCATCTACTACTGGATACATGCTCTTAAATTATACTCATATTCATCTGAAGATGAAAACTATACTTCATTCTTTGGGGGGGGGGACTTCTCTTAAAGGAAAGGTTTGAAAAACTTTTTGACAGAAAGGCAAGGCTTTAATTAAACAGATAAATACAGCTGTTTGTTATAAGCAGACCATAGATTTGGGATTTACAGTGTTCTTCAACCCAAATAGGAGTGATATGTTCACCGTACAGATGTCACCAGAGAATTTCTAAAATAGCATCGGTCAAAACCACCTTTGGATCTGTTCTGAATAGCAGTACCCTTGAAAGTCTTCTCCCCTTCATGTGGGTGTGAAACACCATGGAGGACAAGAAAGATAGTATTCCCTGGCTCCCCACCTTCTCAGTATATCCCTCCTAGTACCACCATACCACCATACTTCCCAGTCTAGGCCAAGCAGAAAGATAGGATCAGTAGTATTGTAAGGGACAATGAAAGGTCCAAGAAAATTAATTGGGTTGCCATACAGCAAGTTGACCAGGATGGTTTCCATCCAAATAACCTCTATCATCTTAGACTACCTAGGAGGTAAGAAGCCATCACCTTGTCAAGAATGCTATATTAAATAGTAGATGATAATTAGCAAAAATCAAGATATCAGTGAAAAATAAAAGGGTTTAATCACTGTCTGCTTAAGTGTAGTGGGAACCATCCCCTCCCTCAGAGGGTCATTAAGTACTTCTTGAGGTCCAGATGGTAAGCACAGTCCTGACAGATTTTAATATCCAAGAAGGGCAGGGATCCAAAGAGCAGGTGGTGGGCTTCAACCCTCCAAGTAGCTTGTCCTTATTATCAGGCAATGGCCGTTGAAATCTATCCAAGACAATGTGACTAGACTGAATCCTAGTTTCATCCATCTGAAACCCTGTCAAAACAATAGCATCCAAGTTGGAATTATGCACACAATTTTGATTGCAGAACAAAATGTACATTTTTCACAACAAGCCTTCAGAGATTCCATGTGATTTCCTGCCCTGTAGAAATTTGAAATTTCACTAGTTGAAAGAGCTTTTTGGCCAACATTGTGGTGATGAAAAGGTGACAGATAAGATTCATTCATGTGTCAAAATATACCCTTAGGGTTATGTACCTGTGTTCTGTTGTAGTTGTTATGCATTTTAAGCCACCTATGCTGTAATAGGCCCTCAACATATCATGATAAGACGGTGCTAGTATCATTACGATATGGTTCATAACGCATGGAGTGACCACATTGATGGTCTGGATCATTGTATTGAAAAGGTCTTGTAATGGCCAAGGCTGCCTTGTCATTCCAAATAGAGACCAAATGTTAGCAAAAAAATGAAAAACATCTCCAGAAACTTTGCAAAACTCACTGGCATTTGAAAGTTGACCATTAATATTGACCCACCCATTTTTTCATGCAAAGTCTGGGAATGACTAAAAGGCCAAACCTGATCAGATAATTACACCATTACAGTTCCTTATTATATCCTTCTGTGTCAATAATGGAAACAAGTCAAGCAATAAAAATAATTTTAGTACCTTTGCTACCAGGATAACTTCAGCTTGCTCTAGCCTTTCTAGTTGAAGAGAGACACTTTCCAAAGCAATGTGGAGGTGTGATTTGATGTGGGGATGGAGGTGTCAAGATTTTGCTCCTAAAAAGGAGTAGCAACTATTAAAGCCGTAGCTAAAAGGATTGGTTTCTATGACCTTTGAGCTCAGAATCCACCTAGCGATTGATGCTAGGCACATAGTTGTAATCTTTACATCAGATCAGAAGTGAATAACACAATTAACAAGCGTTTGTCATCTCTGGATGTGTGAAACCTGTAAAATCCACTCATTCCATAAACACACTTATGTGGGCACTTGGTATCTCTTGTGAAGTACACTCAATACACTTGCGATCCCACAAGGACTTTTTCCAGACTACTTCACTGCAGACCTCCTGTTCCCCACCAAGTCTACAGATTGTCATGGCTATCACTTGATAAGCATCTTTAACATAACTCCACTTAAACTTATTCTCCAGGACTGTTATTATGTCAACACACAGACTTCCTCTCAGCACCAAAGGCAATGTTGAAAATAATGTGCCCCACAGCCTTAAACAGCCTGATACCTTTTAGGAAAGGCATTGGAAATGGATGGTACTCCAGGTTTTTTATATTGCTTTTAAATTTAAAGGCATCAATTCCCTTGTATGGGGCTGTTTGCACTGAGTTTATGGTAGCAGGGTGGTAATTTGGTTATGGACAACATTGTTATAGCCCCTCCTTGCCCTCTGGGACAGGGGAACACCTCTAGTTTTGGGGTGCTGGTATGCAGATTGAATCAAAGCACAGAGATAGAAGGAAGCTGTGATTAGCAAAGTTGGAGAAATAGAAAGAACCGTTGAAACAAATTATTCTCCCAAAAGGTTAGAACTAATTGCTTTTTAGATTTAAAGTGAGGAGACATCATTTTAGAGACCCCCCCTTAAGATTTTGCTGATGTCAGGAGGGAATTTAATGTATTTAATGTGAAACTTGGCTGCTTCTGTTAAGCACGGTTTCAATATTAGCTCTGGGAATTTACAAAGTGATAGAGCTAGTGAGAGCATCTGACCAGAATGGAGGCACATGTATTCATATTTCTAGTTTGGGATGGCGCTGACATCATATGGGGACCACTGGCTCTAAACAAGAACCACAACAAAACAAAAATTCATTTTCATATTTATGATGACTAACAGTCTAACTTTGCTAGAGTTTATGAAGCAAATACTGGGAGTTTTAGAGCAGGTTGGAGATGGCTGTAAATGAGAAGCCTCAATCATTGTTTCTGAAATCTAATGCTATAGCCAGAACTTGGAAAATTGAAGATCTTGGGAACTACAATTCCCAGAATACAGCACAGTTGTGGACCCATAGGAGTTGTACTCCAAAAATAATGTTTCTAATCTTTAATGCAAAGGAACTAGGAGATAATTTTGCTTTCAGTGAGAATTCAGTTCCTTTGAAAGTCAACCAAAATGCACAAAGTACACCATCCAAGCTTATGAAGCTTTGCTGGCTTCTTCATTAGGCAAAGATGTTAAAATCAAATAGGAAACGTAACAATGTTTAGGGTTGCAGGTCTATATTCTGACTAAGATGTCATTTCAGTTGTCAATTAAGATATCTGTCCTCTGGCCCTGTTCTCTGCTTAAGAAAGGGACACTCCACCCTGCTGAGGACAGAGTTTTCCTGGATCTCGGTCAAAGCTAATTTACTACTACTATTGATACTTATGTCCTTTTTCTTCTCCTGTATGATTTTTCAGATCTTTGCCTAATGAAGAAATTAGCAATGTTTTAAAAGTTTGCCTGATGTATTTTCTGCATTTTGACTGGCTAATAGTGTTATCATTGTTCTGTCGAATTTGAAACTTGTATTTTACAACATGGCCAACACAGCTATCGCTTATTATGTTTTTTAAAACTTAGTATTATATTGGGAATTTTTTTGCCACATATTGTTGCCTGTATATGTAAATGTATGGTCAGCATTTTGAAGGTTTTCTGCATGTTGTGTGTGCTTTAATCTAGACAATTATGCTGTACTTAGATTTTCTTTTCCTAATTCTTTAACATTTCTTTTTTTCTCCCCTTCCCGCAACCAAAGGTCAGACAACATCAGCTTCAAGATGCTCCAGGATTCCAAATTCAAAATCTGGCTGGTCAAGACAGATGGAGAAGAAGCCCTCAGAGGTTAGTTGCTATTTGTGTTCCTATTGACCCCTTGCATGTTTTGCTTGCTTTTTTAAAAAGATGAATTTCCAGTTTTAAATACAACAAGGTTGACCCAAATCTTGGCATATGCAGCTGGGATAATAGAAATGGGTTTATCCATCCCTACCTCTCCTTAACAGCTGTCTCACCCCCTGAAAACAGTATACCATGAACAGCAGAACCCTGCTGAACAGTCTAGGCTGTGGGGTGGAAGGAAGAGGGGGGTGGATTCCTTCTTCCCCAAGTTGGTATCACTTTCTCAATTCAAATGCAGACCAGCTGATGGTTGAGAAAGTTACTTTTGGGACTACCAACTTGCAGAACTCTTCAACCAACATGACCACTGGCCATATTAGTTAAGGGATTTTATTAGCTGAAATCAAGAAGAGGCTAACCCAGATCCTAAAGACATTGGAGTCTGAGGAAAAGTATTCTGGGATTCCCTCTACCTGTCTTCATCAGTGGCAGGGACAGTAGGTTCCCTTTGATATTGCATGCTTATGGCTCCATTTCAACTGCCATAAAATCCTGGGATTTGTAGTTTGGTGATACAGCACGGAAGCTTTTCGAGTGATACTTCTATCTGTGCCTCCATAAACTACAAATTCTAGGATTCCATCAGATGTTGTCATGGCTGCTGAAGTGGAATTTTAATGGCATAATTGTGTGGTATGTAAGATCACAGAAGAAAATGGAAATCTTTTTATAAACGCATCCAACAGTTATAGCGAAGATGTAGAAGATACCTGAGAACGATCGTCCCTCTTGTTTATGTTCCTTCTAGCTGACACCTGGGAGTCAGGCTACATCTGGAAGATATCACTGCAATCACTGGAGGGTCCCCATTGAGCTCTGCTGGAGCTGTCCAGTTGCTGTCCTTGGTCCTGCACTTAATCTACTAGTTTTCATTGCATTAGTGAAAGCCATGGAATCCACCCCATATGGAAACGGATGACAGAAACATTGTGAATTGAAAACCTATGCTTTCAATGAATTGTCATGGGTTTTATGAATGGTTCTGTCTTTGCCACAAGACAACAGTGCCTTCACAATTCCTGTTTAAAAACTTTGGTATGGCGATAGTGAACAAGGAATGAGTAAACAGAAGTTGTTAAAGCATTGAGGCAATGGGTCCACCTGCAGAAAACACAGAATTTTTTTGCACTGTTTTATGCCAAGTATAAAATTTAGAGCTAGCCTTGAGCATATAATTTATAGATGGTAAAATGTTGCCAACTGAATGTATGAATGAGACCAGCAGAGTGGGAAATGCTCCAGCAGACTTCTTTGTGGCTTCTAGTTTCTTCAGCTATTTTCAGAAAATAACTAAATTCGACTGGATGATGAACATTCTCAGCAGGCCACAGTTTAGACTTACCCTTCACCTCAAAGGAAAAGCAGTGAGTGTGGGCATATAAGTGGCATTCTTTTTTTATCCTTTCTAGCATGTATTTCAATGAGTTACTTATAAATTGATCAGCTGCCTTTCCCTACAAGATTTAGTTTAAGGAAGTGTAAAGTTAAACAAGTAGCATGAACATACAGTAGAGTCTTGCCTATCCAACCTTTGCTCATTCAACGTTCTGTATTATCCAACGCGATCTGCCTCCCGCTCGGATCTACAGCTGTTTCAACACATTGCAATGTTTTGGCGCTAAATTTGTAAATACTGTACAGTATTTACTACATAACATTACTGTGTATTGAACTGATTTTTCTGTTGATTTGTTGTAAAACATCATGTTTTGGTGCTTGGTTTGTAAAATCATAATGCAATTTGACATTTAATAGGCTTTTCCTTAATCCTTCCTTATTTTCCAACATTTTCACTTATCCAGCATTCTGCCAGCCCATTTATGTTGGATAACCGAGATGCTATTGCACACCTTTTTAAAAAAGGAAGATAAAATTGAATTCCACAGATTATTTCCCAACAGAAGAATACAAAATTCAGGGTGCTGGCTCAGACTCAATTTTAGGAGGAAAGTTCTTCCATCCTATAAAAGAACATAGAGGTTTGAAAATGAGGAATGAATAGGGAGAAAGATTGCCTGAGTGTGACAGTATCTCATTAGAAGGACAATGGGTCAGATGTAGATGACACGTACTCGTTTTTCTGCTGTGAAGTAGAGCTTATCTCATCTCCCTCTCCCAGACAACACAATAGTAAACCCACTCTGAACAAATCTTGCCAAAGAAAACACTATGATAGGGTTGCCTTCAGGTCACCATAAACCGGAAATGACTTGAAGGCATACAATAACAACCACAGCAGCAGCAAAATACATCCTCTATATAGGGTAGTGGTGTATCCAGTCTATTGTGATACCATTGAGAAGACCAGCTATATTGTGTAAGGGACCAATAGTTTGCTATATCCCGTACTTTGCTTAAGAAGTGGTTGTTCATATTTCAGATCAGTAGCCAATATCAGCTTTGATAGTATGTAAGGTGGGGTGATCTACATGTTAGTTGCAGCTTGAACACAGTGGTTATGCTCTGTAGTGCCACTGCCTGGCATTTCGTGGATATGTGCAGTTCATTTTTTAAAAGAAAATGTTAGTTATGCATATTTCTCCAGACTTCCAGCAAAGGGTATGACACATCGGCAGCCAGCACAAGAACCAGACTCCTGGGAGGCATGTTGAATCACTCATCATAAAGCTGGAGGAGAAACAGCTTGCCCCTTTCAGATGACATCTCAAGATTGGAAATTATTCTGTTTTGGTTGCCCGAGGTGTCATCCTCTGTTGCTGTGGTAAATACAGTTCCTGCATTATGTTTCAGGAACCGTGACTTTGCGCAACCCGAGAACACACAAATATTGCTGCTTCTCATTAGTTCAGACTGAAAGCTCCCATTTGTGGCTACAAGCAAATTGCTTCTGTTCATAATAAATGGGAAGTGGGTGGGAAGGAGGAGTTTGCAGGTGCATAAAATACACTTATTTATTGTGGATCCCTCTATATACATGGTTACTGATGCAAAGATGGAAAGAAAATCCATTTTCCCCTTGTCCTCAATGGGAAATATGTCTCCACATATAAAAACACTCCAGTTGAAAGATCTCTCAACTAAATAAAGGTGTCTCACCTGAATCTTTATCACCAATCCTTGTTTCCACAACAAGTCATTTTTTTCAGAATCCAATTATCACAAGGTGAAATCTTCTGAACAGGGCCACAGACAGCAAAACAAACACTGCATGCATGTTACCCTTCCCTATGCTATCCATAGATATAACCAAAGATAGATAGATGGCTAGATTTACACTTCAGAAATGTACCTGTTCCAGCTTACAAACAAATTAAACTTAATAACTCACCTACAGAATGTATCTTGTTTGTAACTTATAACAGTAATTTCTGGTGGAAAAGAACCTTTGCGCACCCCCCCCCCCCCCCCCCCCCCACAAAACCCCTCATCGCAAAGTTTTTGCAGAAAAGATCAAAAATTTAAAAGAACGCTTCACAAAGCATCTTATGGTGCTTTTGCAATAGTAGTAGTAGTAATAATAATAATAATCCAAAATAAAAAGGAGAAATAATTCATAATTTCTCCCAGTGTTAAGTAAGTTTTTGTTCTTGCATATGAAAATGAAACAGTTGAATTTCTCCAAATATGATATTAGAAGTATACAAAGTAATGCCCTCTAACATTGTTAAGTGTTTATTATAATCTAATCTGAAACCTTGGTTTCTCTGATTTAGAATTTAGGTAGATAGTTCATTGTGTAACAAAAACAATAATTGTATTTGTTAGAACTATGCAGCACATTCAATTGTTAGGCGGATTTTGACTCCCCCTGTGCTCATGTAAAGAAGAGAATAATTTCTGTAATTGGTCCCCTTTCAGACCCCCTCCCCTCCAAAATAACTTCCAATGGTTCCTTAACACTAAGAGCAAATATAGATGGCATGGGGGTGAGGACTGCAAAAGGAAGAGGAAATGTGAAAGAATGAACTCAAGGTGCATCTACACTGCAGAATTAATGTAGTTGGGCACCACTTTTAACTGCTGTGATTCAATCCCTTGGAACTTTGGGAGTTGTACTTTGATGACCCACCAGGACTCTTTGGCAGAAAAGGGTAAAGAAATATCTTGTAAAACTACAACTCCCACAATTCTATAATATTGAGCCATGGTAGTTATTGTGGTATCCAGCTGCATTAATTTTACACATGTAGATACATTCTCAGTCACATTTTTGAATGGAAAGCTGGAATCCAAGCCATTATCTTTAAGTTCATACAATAACCTCATGCGGTGTGTTGTATTTGTGGTTGTTGTTGTTATTATTATTCCTAGATCACAGGTGTAGGTATTCTGTCTGAGAGATAATGGTTTACCATTGCTAAGGCAATGAAAGCATTGATGTTCAAGCTAGGGACTTTGTGATATATAGTTCAGTCTCAAACCTATTCGAACCTATTGGCACTTTGACTGGAGTTGATTTCATGGAACTTTGTGGATGTTCCTTCTGAGAGGACATGGATTAGATTGCATGGATCACTAGGGAGCTGGTGTTGCAGCCTGTAACATACAGCTAGACAGCTTTGAACTTTGAAAAGTTCCAAAGAAGAACTTTATGACTTCAATCTCTTTGTATACATTGCCTTTAGGATTCCAAGATGAAACCCTCTTGTGTCGAAACAGTTGCATTGATGAATGAATGGCCTGGGACATCTTTGACTTGTCCCCCTTTTGATGTTGCATTCTGGTCCCATCATGTGTCTGAGTTGCCCTTCATATTTTCTCTAGCAGCATAAGCAGGAAAGATAAGGAATCAAAGGCATTAGGACTACGTAGTCATTAGCTAAGTCAAGGGTGATGGCTATTATGAAAGACTCTGTGACAAGGGATTAGCTATACACATTTGCTGTGCAACTGGAAAAACAAGCTTCTTTGCACAGGGGAAAAAACCCACACTAAGCCCTTTGTAAACATTGAGGTCATTATGTGCTATTGTCAGGACATCA